CTGAGGCGAGCGGACAGCGCTGGCGCCGCCACTGTTGACGCTGCCGTGGCCGCCGCCGTCGTCGCCTCCGCCGCAGCCGCCAGACTGGCAGGATCATACATGTTCTGCCGCCTCTGCGTGACGTCCAGTTGCACGATTGAACTAATGTAACAAACCTCCAGCGGGTGTGCCACGGCAACGTTTATTCCGATATCTTTCGAAGGAGGCTGTAGCGCTGGCTAGCTGGTTGTGGTCCACGCACCGATGCTGTGATCGGAGCTGTGACGAACCCCGCGTCGGAATCTAAAGCTGAATGACTTGCGTGGAGCTGCCTGACGGTACCTACCCTGGGCTGCACATGTACAACCAAAGCTTGACACATGTAAGAAGCAACGCTCTGGGAAGCAAGTGTCCAGCTGGGGCCACGAGCTGGACTGCGAGTTAAGCGGTCGCGTGCGCATGCTTCAGCCATTGAAGCTGACCCCTGTTTTCCCAGGTAGGACCCCTGCTTGATGCCATGCCGCGCAGAGCGCGTATTCATTCGGTGCGCTCAGTGTCCCTGGTTACAGCCAGACCCAGGACTGAAGTTCACCCTGCAGGAACGTGAGACTCTACGCAGGCCAAAACACACAGGAACGTGCGAGGGTGCCCTCCCCCAGGATGCACAGGAGCATCCGATAAACGCGAAGAACATCAGGACACCCACCCCGAACAGACCTCGATATCATTCCTCGGTCCGACCGTACCTGGCTCCACCTGCCAGTTGGGCAGCGCTTCTCTGCCTGTGATCGGCGCCGTGGGGGGGGGCAGCACGCCTCAGTCGCCCCCTCGCGCCCGCTCCGCGCGAGCGGCTGTCGCCTCCGTCGCCGTCATCGCCGTCGTCGGTCGCTCCGGTGGATCGTCTGTCGCGTGGCTGTTGCAATCGCCGCATCCGCCCGTCGTCCGTCGCCGTCGGCTGCTGCCTGGTGGCTCGTTTCATGGACCGCCTGCCCTTCGCTTTCGGCCGGGGCCAACTGAGAATCCTAGAATCCCCCTCATCACCACCACAGGCAGCATCGTCATCGTCGTCATCAGTACTGTCAGCAATCCACCATCATCAACAGAATCACCGTCATCGTCAGCAGCATCAGCATCGTCAACAGCAGCAGCAGCGGCAGCAGCAATATTCTCAGCATCAGCGTCAGCATCATCAGCATCAGCATCATCATCAGCATCAGCATCTGCATCATCATCATCAGCATCAGCATCATCAACATCATGATCAGCATCATCAGCATCATCATCGTCATCAGCATCACCATCATCGTCGTCGCATCAGCATCATCGTCAGCATCATCAACAACAGCGTCACCATCATCATCCTAATTAGTATACGTATCACCATCACCATGAACGTCATCATCAGTGTCAGCATCATCATCAGCAGCATATTCATCATCATCGCCCTCATCGTCATCATTATCACCATCATCATCATCATCTGCATCATCATCAGAATATGTATCAGGATCATCATCAGCAGCATCATCAACATCAGTCAGCGGAATCACCATCATGACCGGTATCAGCCTCATCATCATGCCTACCGATAACGTCACGATCGCCAGCATCATAATCATCAACAACAGCAACCACATCATCATCAGCAGCAGCAGCATTATTAGCAGCAACCGCCGCATCAGCAACAACAACAGCAACAACAACGACAACGACGACAACAACAACAACAACTACTACTACTACTATTACTACTACTACTACTAGACTACTACTACTACTACTACTACTACTACTACTACTACTACTACTACTACTACTACTACTACTACTACTACTACTACTACTACTACTACTACTACTACTACTACTACTACTACTACTACTACTACTACTACTACTACTACTACTACAATTACTACTACTACTACAACTACAACAACAACAACACCAACACCAACAACAACAACAACAGCAGCAACAGCACAAGCAGCAGCAGCAACAGCAGCAGCAACAACAACAGCAGCAACAACAACAGCAGCAGCAGCAGCGTCATCATTTGGTGTCGTCAACGTCCTCAGCCTCTGGCATGCAGAGGCGGCGGCCTCGAGCAGCCCGACCAGCTCGTGCTGCGGGGCACGGATCTTGCCCTCCAGGTGGGCCTGGTCGGGAAGCAGAGGGGGGGTCAAAGGGCGGAGGGAGGAGGGTCGGAGGGAGGAGAGAGGAGCGGGAGACGAAGGCGGATCAAAGGAGAGAAGGGCATGACATGGACCCCTTTCGTCAAGCGAAGCAGCACGACCAAACCGCCCCCGAAGCCGTCAGCTCGGGTTTGTAGTTCGGCGAACGGCACTTTGGGCCAGAGGCCCTTAGAGTTAAGTCGGGCCTGTCCCCCATACAGGAGAATTTAAGACAGAATACCAAACATATTCACAACAATGCCCCTGCATGGGTAAAAAATATTCAAAAATCGTACCCATTCTATGTATTTATTCTTTTTGAGTGTTCCTCCTGTGGAGGGACAGGCCCGACTTTACCTTAGAGGGGGGAGGAGGGGGAGAGCAGCGGCGGGAATCAGGGGGGGCGGCACGGCACCCCTCCCCCCCTGCAGGCATCGCGGCGGCCTCGGGCGAGCGGGGAAGGGGGAGGGGAGCCGCGGAAGGCGAGGGAGACACGGAAGCGGAGCTGCGAGTCAGGGCGCGCGGTGGCCACGAGGAGGTCCTCCTCCTCCTCCTCCTCCTCCTCCTCCTCCTCCTCCTCCTCCTCCTCCTCCTCCTCCTCCTCCTCCTCCTCCTCCTCCTCCTCCTCATCCGTCCCCCCCCCACCCTTCCTCCTCGAGAGGAGGGAGAGGATGAGAGGGAGGAAGAGAGGGGGGAGGAGGTGGAGGCGGAGGAGGAGGATGCCGCCTGCCAGGCAGCTGCGGGGCTTCTGCTTCCGAAGTGCAGGGGGGAGGGGGGAGCTAGCAGGCGGCGAGGGGCGGCGCTCGGGTCGGGGGTGCACATGGGCGGCCGTGCAGCAGCAATTGAGCGCGCGGTAGCTGTGAGGCAGCTACGCGGCAGCGACAGGAGAGCAATGGTATGACTACTCCCTGATGTAACATCCCCTCCTGGTCTAGCTGTAGGGTGACTCAAGTCTGCGCCCCTGCCAGAATGCTTTAATCCGCAGTGTCAGCCTGCGCTTCGTCTTCGCTGCTCTCGCACCCACGAAAGCTTGCCCTGCGACCACAACGGGCGTGAGGTACATGGATTAATCCCACCAACCTTGTAAGGGGTGAGTGCTTTAGAGAGTTTCTAATTCCAACCACCCTTCTTCCCTTTCGCGAAAGGGCTTATCACTGTGCCTATTAATAAACACTCCCTTCCCCCAGGCGACCGTCAGCCAACCAGGACCAATGCCAACACCCCCCCGATCCCAGTCAAAAACATGAATCCAGCGCGACCCCAGTGAGGGGAAAGCTTTCTATTGCATGGTCGCAGTGCTTGGCATTGGTTGGCATTGCTTGCCGTTGCTTGGCATTGCTTGGCATTGCTTGGCATTGCTTAGCACTGCTTGGCATTGCTTGGCATGCCGTCGCATTGATTGGCATTGCTTCGCATTGCTTGGCATTGCTACGCATTGCTTCGCATTACTTCGCATTGCTTGGCATTGCTTCGCAATGCTTGGCATTGCTTGGCATGAGGCACTGGGGGCGGGGAACCCGGGGAATCCTGGGAACCTGGGGAACCCGGGGAACCTCCGAGGAACGAGGCACTGGCAAAGTAACAAAAGGAGGCACTGGGGGCGGGGAACCTGGGGAGCCTGGGGAACCTCCGCGCAACGGGCATCGTAACAGTAGTCGGCACCAACCTTTAACCAAGTAAGAATCCCTTAATTAGGCAAGCCTAATTAGGGAACAATGCGATGCACGCGTTGGGGTCAAATCCTGGGTCATGCTCGTGGGCCCTGCGAGCACTTTGTTCGGCAAGGGAGGCGAGTTGCCCTCATATTGCCTGCTTCGCGCAAGGCCACCATCGCCTCCGAAAAAACGATGCAACATGCACTTCGCGGGTAGATCTGGATCATGCGCGGCCCCCCCGCGATCACTGTTCATTGGTGAATGACAAGGACCGCGGGGGTGCTGGCATATTGCCTGCCGTGCACGGGCCTGGCCCACCAGACATCACGATGGCATCCCCGCCGTGATCGTGGACTGGCTTTCGTCGAGAAGGACGGCAAGGGGCCGACGTGCTGCCCGATGTGTGCTGTCGCGTGCGCGGGCGCACCCGGCACACTCTGCGCGTGCCCCGGACGTGGCTCACCTGGCGCGGCGGGACCCTGCGGCACACGCGGAGCACGTGGCGCACGTGGCGCAGCCTGGCGCGCGAGGCGGCTCCTGGCACGCCTTGGGCCCCCGGGGCACCTGGAGCACCTGGAGCGCCTGGCACGCGTGGCGAGCCCCGCCCCATCGCGCACGTGGGGTCTGCATCGATTCCCAGTAGCTCCCCGTCCATAGACGACCTGGTTTGGGCCACCTTTTCACCTCCGGGAGGGGGGGGACATAATGGGGGAGCTCCCCTCTTTTGATCGATCTCCTCCAAGATGGCCCCAAGACGGCCCCAGAGGCTCTCGAGGGTGCCCCAGAAGGGCCCCAAGAGGTGCCCAGGAGGGCCCAAGACGCCCCCAAGAGACCCCCAAGACGCCCCAGGAGGCCTCCCAGAGGCACCCAAGACGCCCAAGAGGCCTCGGCGAGATTACCAAAATCATTGATTTTCCTATGGTTTTGGCCACGTTTGGGCCTCCTTGCGGCGGGACCCTGATTGAGGACTCCCCCGTCCTTTGATCGATCTCCTCCAAGATGGCCCCAGATGGTGCCCCAAGAGGGCCCCCAAGAGGTGCCCAGGAGGCCCCACGAGGCCCTCCAGAGGCGGGCGCTTCATCCGGAGTCGTTCCTCGACGGCCCCGAGGGCCGGTGAGGGCCTCCAGAGGCCGAGCACACGGAGAAGCCCACCGCTCTGACTTTTTAACTGCACGAGGGGGTCTGGGGATCC